GGAAGGAATGCACTAAATTTTTGTGAAAAGAACATTTGATTTTTGAGGAGCGTGCTAAAGGTTTTCTCTCCAGAAATTAAAAAAGAATTACAATCTGCAGGCTTGGGACTTTTCAACATGGTTAAAATCCTTCTAATGTTTCCCCCCCCTTCTGGCATTTAGGCATATTAATGTTTTGATTGACTGTATGTCAAGAATGAAACTTTGGCAGCTATGTGCCTCTTCATTTCAACTTGGCATTAGAGTAAGGGGGAGTATGCTGTTTTAGAATTGGTTAGATGAAGAAACGAAACCTCTATGATTCCACTGAAGAACATGAGAGTGTGAAACCTTTCCAAGGACACTGCAGCAGGTGGGGAGAGGAAGCAGACAGTTCCGTAACAAAGTGAAATTGTATACATGATCTACGTGAGAGTGTGGGGGTTTGTCTGGAGAAATTATTGTTTAATTCTATGAACTGGTGTCTGGGAATCTCAAAGTTAGTTTTGCTTCGACATTACCATGCCGTGTATTCAATAAACTGTAAGATTTTTGGAAACAGAATGAACCTGTTTTATTTGGATTTGCAAGCTGGATTTGACACTGAAAGGGTGGTTTGATTGTAGTTTTTAAATGATTCTAAAATATCAACTGAAAATATTTGGATATTATTTTTCAGTATTTTTACCAATTCTTATGAAGGTGGGGGATCTAAATGCTGCCCTAACCAATTAAATGAAATGAAGGGATAAAAATGTAATAAATAAATAAATAAAAATAAATCACATAAGTTATCAGGCACTTTCGGAAGCAAAGTATTCATCAACACAGATTCACAGAATAAAACTACAGAGTCAGAAGGAACATTTGGTTAATGAATACAACTCCCTTCTCAATACAAAAATTTAAATTTATGATTTGCTTTAGAATCTTCCCAGATATCAGCATCAGACCATTTATATACTACTGAAACTCTCATGTCTGTAACCTTTAACTGGGCAAAACAGTATATCATAGGGAAACAGAGTTTGAACAAAGATATTGCAAAAGGGTAAATTTACAAAGAGCATCCAAAATCTGGGACCTACGACTTCTGAGGAATTGAAATTCAGCAAATTTGTGGTTGCTTCAGTCCTGCCATGTTGTTATGCCACTGCCCAGAAGTTCAGTAGACCAGTCCTGCCCTAGTCCTCCAGGTTGGACTGGCCCCTCTTTCAGCCACTGGAAATCAAATAGACTGGTCTCGTTCTAGCCCTCCAGAGGCTCCAGAGATTATAGACCAGTCCCAACTTTGAATGTCAGAAGTCAAGCCAGCAGGAAGTCAAAAGTTGCTCCTGCTCCCACTGCTTTTTTGCTCTTGGTCAGTCTGTTTCTCAGTTTAAGTAAGGGAATAGTTCTAAAACAATGACCCAGTGGATCACAGGTTGTCTAATCTGGTCTACAGTTTCTTTTTTCCTTTTCTCCTTCTTTGAAAGTGGGGATATTGGCTCTCCTCAATTCACCTGGTGCTTCTTCCATGTTTTCTCAAAGCAAAAACAAAAACATAAAGATTATCTATATTATCTTCCTCAGTACCCCAGGATAAAATTAATCTCCTCAGGAGATTTGAACTTTTTTAAAATCAGTAATAATTTCTGACCATGTTTGGTCAGAGACCTGGAATATTGCTATTTCAGTCAAATGAATCACATCTCTGCTTTCTAACTGAGCAGAACAGAAATGTAATAGTTTTTCCCTTTCCCCCCTTCTCTTTTGTACATCATGTCTCTGTGAATTTGGCCTATATCCAATTTGTAAGGAAGAGATTAATGGAGTGGTGATTTTGCTCTTGAAAAGGATCTCCCACTAGGAGAGTTGTAAGAGGATCACCACCAACCTCTAATGCCCAGTATGGATTAAATAGCATTTCCCTTGATTTTTTTAACACTATGCTATCACATTAGAAAATCAGAGTGAGGGAGAAATGCACACAACAAAGACTGCAGAAGGCAGCTCAGCTGGATTTTTCCTCTCATAGGGCCATGGGTACCAACTGCTGTGCAGGAAGATGCCATAACATCCATTTGTTTTTAAGTAGTATTTATTGTATTCTGATCTATAATTGTTTGTACAAGTGGTCCCTGCATGTAAGCTGTTTGGGGAGGATTGTTGCAACCACAATAGCAGAAACAATAATGGAGAGTTGCTCACTGTCCATCCCCCATGATATTTTTTCTGAGAGACATTTTTGTACATTATTTCCCTATTTTGTATACTTTTCACAAGGATTTTTCTTAATATATATCCTTGTGTGTATCTCATCAATGAAGGAGAATATTTATAGGTCAGGGTTGAAATAAGGGATCCTTGGTGCTCTCTGAGCTTGCTTGTTTTCTTGCAAACATTTCATTAGCCTAACTAGTAACATCATCAGTGCTAGCAGTCCTAGTTAGGGTAATGAAACGTTTGCAAGAAAACAAGCTCAGAGAACACCAAGGACCCCTTATCTCATTATCTTATAAACACTCCTACTCTTAAAGCTCTGGAAAATCCTCTGGAAAAATAAGAATTTGCAAATATGTCCTTTCTGATTCTTTTGAGTTAAAAGGCTTTCCATGAGACACCACATGACACACACACACACACACACACACACACACAGTAGCCTGAGCCAACCAGGAGAGGCATGGGTCTAATGAACAAGTGGCTGAGTTGTAAGAATCTTGTCCACTTCCTCAGGTCCAAGAAGTTCAAACTGTTGCCAAACAGCAGAGCAAGACTGAGACCCAGGCATTTCTGCAGGACTGGAAAAAAATTTGAGTGATTTTATTCACAGATCCTCTGAAGATTCCTCTGCACAGCCTTGGAATATCCAGCTTCCCCCAGCCCAGAAAGCTACTAAAAAACCAATTCATGGATGCAATAATGGTGGAGAAGTACTATGGCTTCACCACCTTACTGCCACAAGACAGACCCTAATAGCACTCTCACCCATTATCAGCCCAGCTGCGTAAACCAGACAAGAAATATGACTAGATAAGTTAATTCTACATTATTGTAAAGCCATATGATACTTCCAGACAGCAAGAACAATTAATCAGTGGAATGGCTTGCCTATAGAAATTGTGGGTGCTCCATCACTGGAGGTTTTCAATAAAAAAAATGAGCATCTATTTGTCCAGGATGATATAAGGATTCCTGCCTTGGGTAGGGGACTGGACTATAAGACCTCCAAGGTCCCTTGCAGCCCTATAATTATAAGTGACCCATATGTCTGCCTATCTAGCCTGCTAGCAACTCTTAATGGGCAATTTCAAAGTCCTGACTCAGCTTATCAGGGCCCTAACAACAAAATTACAGATTAGTATTCTTCCAAGAAGAAGACACTTAAAAAATATAGGAATGACAGTCTTTCAAATGACAAGAACACTAGGCATATAGTATTTCAACATGTTGCTTGTATTTCTTGCACATAAACAGTCCAGGTTTGCTTTACTGGAATTTATTTTCCCATGAACATCATATTTTCATTAAAGTGAAAACCATATATAATGTATGTAAAGTTGAAAATCTTGCATACCTCTAAAAGAGTAAATAAGCAGCAAATAAATAATCTCATAGTTAAAGCATCACTAAACTTTTTATATAATAGAGATGAGAGAGAGAGACTGCAAAGTCAGATAGTAGTTAATGTATGCCATCATTTCCGTTGCAGGTTCAAATATCAATTATTATTTTAAGATGAAAGCATGTCAGGCTAGCTTTCAAGCTAAAATGCATTTAGTTTTATATTTTCTGGATATAAATGCTTACTACAGCTAATGTTAATGAGGATTTAAAATGAAATGATAAAAAAATGTGGTCAGATATTCAGAAAGCTTTTCAACAAAAATAGACATTAAGTATTTCAGAAAAAAATTATGGATAATCTCTGGGAACATTGAGGTCATATGTGAAATTTAGGAACATTTTGTTGAATGAGGGCTGTTTCTTTGTAAGACAGTCTGTCAGAATCATGACATACTTATATAAAGAAAAGGCCAACTCAAAGCTTACATAAATATATTTGTTCAAACAGAGATTATAACATTGCACAAATATACATTTAAAGGGAACCAAGATTAAGTCAGTAGTGTTAGCTACCAAGAACAGGATTATACACTAATCTTCAGCTGGTAGTAAATGTGAGTATCACACTCAGAAGTGATTGGCTTATTTGTTCGTTTGTTTTAAAGAAGGAACAAGACCAGAGGGCAGAATAGTGAGGATGAGAATATCAGAAAAGGAATGATTAAATTTTGAAGTAAATCTTATGATTATGTGTGGTGTGCTGTCTAAACAAATGGACTATTAAATAAGGAATCCTGGTTTAATTCTAGCTTCTGCCATGAACTCAGTAGTTTAAAGCTCTGTCACTCAGTTTCAGGTCCCTCATCTACAACTCACCTTACATGGCTGGGCAAGGACTATGGAGAGAACATATATGAAGCATCTGTGACATCTACAAAGTCTAAATTAAAAGTGGGACTAATTCAAACAAGAAAAAAGGAAAAACAAAAACAAAGCATGGAGCTGTAAGGAAGGATCCCAATTAAAAAAATCCACTTCTAAATGTTTTCTAGTCACATCTGAAGTTAACGTAATACATAATTCCATGACTAGTTTCTAATCCCAGGGAAATTTAGGACAAGAGAAAATATGAGCTTTAGGTGGCAAGTCAACAGAAAAAAAGAAAAGAAAAGGCACCAGATAAAAGGAAATAAAACTATAAAGGGACCACAGATGAAACATGGTTAAATTAAGGTCATAACAACGTGGGTTTTTTTTACAATAAATACTGAGTTTAAGTTTAAATTATTTCTGAAATTCTGAATAAAGTTCTGTAATTGTAACTCACTGTTTTGTTCATTTTTACACTACCATGGCTGTGAAGCATGAAAACAGATTGCAAATACCTTAACACCCTCAAACAATAACAGACTTTCATAAATAGGAAGCAAGATTAAAACAAAACCCATCCAATAAGAATGTTCAACCCTTACCTTTGAGTCATAATCTTATAAGCATCTGGCAGATAACAGCGGATATTCTCCATCTGAGCAGGATCTGAGTCACAGATTTTATCATCTGTCCTGCCATAGTTGGCACTTTCAATCATGATAACATCTGTTCCTGGGCAACGGAGTTCTATTGGGTAGCTTTCACAAGAGAGTTCCCTCCGGACCACTGCCATAGGAACGGGAGCACGACTAAAAGCTGTGAAAGAAGAGAGATGCTTAGTAGAAACCACAGCATCTAAAACAAAAATATTCCCCATAGTCTACAGGAGTGTCAAATCAAATGATTTGCAAAGTGACTTGGGTCATTCTCTGTAGTCTTTCAAACATATCTTTAAGCACGTGAAGAGTATCTTCTACTCACCCATGAATAACTGGAGAAACTTATTTATGCAGCAAGTTGCTTCATGGTAAGACTGTGCAGTGTTCCGGGTACATAGGAGTGCAAATATAGCAAATGACACTATTCTACTAGGCACTGCCTCACAATCTCATGCACTCCAAAGCATCTTTTCAGAATTAAATCCAAAGCACAGCATAGCCCTAACTCTAAAGATGGGTTTTCTTTATCAGAACTGAGCCCACAAACTTTTATTTTTTAAAATATTAATAAAAATGTTCTCCTCAGTCCACATCATTCATCATCTTTTGATAGCTATTGTTTATTATTATAGTAGAAGGAAACTATTTTTCATATTAATCTTTGTGGTCAGCCCATGCCTATAGATATTGCAAACATAAGATTGAAGAAACCAATTCTATTCCCAAATGTTGACTTCTGGAAGAATGCAAGAAGCCCATCAACTGTAAACAGCTTTGATTTTTGAAAAGTAGTTCATAGAAAAGAAAAATGTTTTTTTTTTTAAAAAAAATTGCCTTTATTGCTGTCTTCATCACAAGATTCCATTTTTTCTGAACGTTACAATTTTTGGAAAAGTGGCTTATTTTGCATCCAAAATGAAGACAATACAATACATGGTAGTTAATGTTCAGTTCATTTAGAAGTCCTGATAGATCAAGCCAAATAGTCACCAGTCCAGCATTCGGTTTCCCAAATAGCTGGTCAGATGTTTATAAAAAACTCTTGAGGTCATGAGGGTAATTAAAATCACTCTGCATTTCTGAACAGCTCACTTTATAAGATCTACCCATAATATAAAGTTAATACAACATTGATATTGAGTACATACTGTACTTTCTTCTATATCCATGCTGAGTTTTAATTTGTTCTTACAAATTAAATGAATGGGCTAGGAGAGTAACAAAAATGAAATAAGATAAATCCCCTAAAGATTAGATCCCCTAATAAAGCCAGGGATAACCTAAGAATGTTCCCTCCAGAGCAAGGTTCTAAGAAACATGAAAATACTTGCAGAAGGGGGAAACTTCTAAGGAAAGTGTCTATTTTTAGGATCAGTGGTGCTTGAAACAGTCAATTTGTTGCAGAGAATTGATATTGGACTTATAAGCTTCATGAAAATAGAACTCTTCATCTGTTTGGCACTTCCACTTCAGTGGCCCTTGTCTGATCATGATGATGATCAATGATCCATATACAAACATATAAAATCATAGTAATTGGAGATACAATGTTTGATAGCATGTTTCAAACACAATAATACAGAATGTGGCCCTATTACTGATAATGCTAGCACTGGAACATGAAACCAGGAGTTTTATTTAATCGAAGTTTATTTTTCTACAATACTGTTACAGATAGGGAATTCCATAGGTGCCTGTCAGGGCTCCTTTTAGACCAGTGATTCTCAACCTGTGGGTCGGGACCCCATTTGGGGTCGATCGACCATTTCACGGGGGTCGCCAAGCAAGGCTGTCCGCCATTTTTTTTGTCCGCCATTTTTTCCCCCTTTTCCGGCGGGTGCCTTACCTCCCTTGGGCTGGGCCAGCTGGTGGTCGGCCTGCTCCGTCTATGCTGCTTGCCAGCTACGCCTCGGCCGGCACAGGGGGCGGAACCACGCATGCGTGGCGTTCCCAGGCAGGGAAAGTCCTTGACTTACGACCGGTTGGGTAGTCCTTGACTTACGACCGGTTTAGTCCTCGACTTACAACCGGTTTAGTCCTCAACTTAGGACCGGTTTAGTCCTCGACTTACGATCGGTTGGGGTCGCGGCATTAAAAAGGTTGAGAACCACTGTTTTAGACTAAGAGTAGGCAGTGACCTAGGCTGCCAAAACTTAGGGAGTGCTAACACACACACACACCTTCAAAATCATTCTAAAAATGCAAGTGTTCAGATAAATGGGCACCATCAATCACTATGCTCTATGGACACCATATATTCTTAAGCCAACACTGTGCCCTTAGAAATTGCAGTACATGAGTACATGGACAATTGCTTCGATATCTTTTCAACTACAAGAGCAAACCTTTGGGGTTGGCATGTCTATTCAGTAGGAGTGTTGATGGTAATGTATTATTGCATGTCCAAAGAAATCCTTCCTCAGCCCAGGGAATGTGAGAGATGTTTAATATTTGGCTGGCAACCAAGGTCCCCTTGACATCCAGCTTTGCTGTTCTGGGGCATGTTAATGACCTCTATAACATCTATCCATTATGGGAGTACATGCCTGGTCTTTTCATAATTCAGAGTAAGAAGCATATAACATGCTTACTCAGACTTTATAGCACCCCTGTAGGTAAGAGATTAGTCCTCCACTAATACTAAGGCTGATAGGCCATTGGAGAATAATTAATCCTAATAGGCCATTGCAGAATAATTAATTAATAATTAATAATTAATGTTCCAGGCCTTCAGCTCTATTATATGCATCCCCAACTCAAGTCTAAGAATGCCAAGGGCTACATCTTTGGGGCGGCAAGAATGGCTGTTAAAAATTTGGTTTGTAGCACTTTCTTGGTATTCTTCATTGCATAGATTCCCATTTGAGTTATGAATAATATCAGAGCTAGTGTTTTGGCTTTATAAGTTTTAAGGGCAACAGAAACTAATTCTCTACCCTTGAGAAAAAAGAATTGCCCAATAATGGCATCTGATATTTTTATTGGGATGAGTCTCTACATTATTGTAAACTAAGATCAAATTAATCAATTTTTGTCCTCTGTCCCAAAATTGTATCCTTGGGTATCATGGTGTCCTAGGATTATTTCAATTCATCACAGAAGTGAGTATGCTGCAGAAAACCAGCTTTAGAAAGAGCCTATATCTTGAACAACACCATTACCTTCCAACAAACAGCAGAGATAAAATTGTGAATGGCTGCAGCCTTGCTTACAAGTGTGGCAACTGCCCAGAAACAAAACAAAGTAAAACAAAATCAAGTCACTAGAGACCAATATGGAAGGTATGAGGGTAAGTAGGGAGAAGGCTCAGTAATATATTTTGGGGTAAAAGAAGATTTTGTGATTCTCCAAGCCCATTAGGACTGCTAATTTGCATGTAATAATAATAATATCTACAACGTGGTAATGTAATAATAATAATAATAATAATAATAATAATAATAAAGTTGGAAGGGACCTTGGAGGTCATTGAGTCCAACCCCCTGCTCAGGCAGGAACCCTACACCATTTCAGACAAATGGCTGTCCAGTCTTTTCTTAAAAACTTCCAGTGTTGGAGCATTCACCGCTTCTGGAGGCAGGTTGTTCCACTGGTTAATTGTTCTAACTGTCAGGAAGTTTCTCCTTAGTTCTAAGTTGCTTCTCTCCTTGATCAGTTTCCATCCATTGCTTCTCGTCCTGCCTTCAGGCGCCTTGGAGAATAGCTTCACTCCCTCTTCTTTGTGGCAGCCCCTGAGATATTGGAACACTGCTATCATATCCCCCCTCGTCCTTCTCTTCATTAAACTAGACATACCCAATTCCAGCAACCGTTCCTTATATGTTTTAGCCTCCAGTCCCCTAATCATCTTTGTTGCTCTTCTCTGTACTCTTTCTAGAGTCTCAGCATCTTTTTTACATCGTGGTGACCAAAACTGGATGCAGTATTCCAAGTGGGGCCTTACTAAGGCATTGTAAAGTGGTATTAATACTTCACGTGATCTTGATTCTATCCCTCTGTTAATGCAGCCCAGCACTGTGTTGGCTTTTTTGGCAGCTGCAGCACACTGCTGGCTCATATTTAAGTGATTGTCCACTAGGACTCCGAGATCCCTCTCACAGTTGAGCAAGGTACCCCCTATACTATACCTGTACATTTGGTTTTTCTTGCCTAAATGTAGAACCTTACTTTTTTCACCATTGAATTTCATTTTGTTAGATAGCGCCCAGTGTTCAAGTCTGTCCAGGTCCTCCTGTATCTTAAGCCTGTCTTCTGGAGTGTTGGCTATTCCTGCCAGCTTGGTGTCATCCGCAAATCTGATGAGTTCCCCATCTATCCCCTTATCCAAATCATTGATGAAGATGTTGAAGAGCACTGGGCCTAGAACAGAGCCCTGGGGCACCACAAATTCCAAATCAGAGCTACAAACCCATACAACTATTCTCCATGACTTTGGACATTCTGGTAGGAAAACAGGCTAGAGAACTCCATCTTATCTAATGAAAAGATTTTCTTTCTGAGAAATCCCAAAAATGACATTGTTTATAAACAAGCAGGCTAGAAAATCTCACAGACAAATATTACCCCTGTTAGGTTTGTACAGAATATAACAAAGAAAATACGCTTGTTCTGTTTGTGTATATTTGTATTGTTTCTTGTTTTTAAATATTTTAACTGTCCAGGATCACTGGGAGTATGGAGGAATATTTATTTATTTGCCTTCTATTAAAATTGGAACAATCTAGTTAGAAAAATGTACAATCACTGAAAATGTAAAGGACATTCTTAATCTTATCTGTGTGATTGTAGAATGAGATGAAATACTACTAGATGCCATATAGAGAAAAATCTGCATTTTTCTCTACCATTTGTTATTCAATGTGATGAAAAAGAATGTACTTTTAACATCTTTCAAAGGAGAAGAGACTTTTAGTGAAATTTTGATGACTGATGAACTGTGATGTTCTCAAAATAGCTTAATTATAAAGTAAGCAAGTGTGTAGGAATGTCTTCACTTTCATTGTGTATAATCATCTCTCCAGCCTCTGTTGCTTTCCCCACTTTAATGATGATCCAAAGGAAGATATGTTTTATTAATTTACTAAAAAAATTATGGCTGGCCATATTATATAAAATAACCTGAACTAATTAACAGATATTAACTATACCAAGATACAC